GAGTTGGGTATTTCCTGCAGCTTGCCATAAACCACGGAATGGCCATGCCAAGGACACCTCCGAAGTGAAAGCTCCCACAGAAGATTCCCGGTTGGACAGGCTTGGAGTCCTCTGATGGGAATTGGTCACCGCAATCCCCTAGACTCAGTCTAGCACTTAAGAAAGAGGGGGTGGATTACAGTTATGTCCTCCTGAAAGGGGCAGGGTAAGCACATTGGCAGAGAGTCAAATTGTCAGACCTCAGGCCTCCTGTCTACTCATGCTGGCTCAACGAGTCTCCATCTGATGCAGATAAAATAGCGCGTGTTACAGGCAGTGACCACGCACCATAGCCAAAGTGCAGGCCCAGAGCTTTACGTGGGTCTCACAAGTGTATGAAGCATAAAAAAGAGGAGAGCCCTACGGGTGACAGGGGCCTGAATGCAAGTTCTGGCTCAGCCACTTTCTGCCATGTGACCCTGGTACGTGGTCCCCTTCTCCCACTCACCTGGGAAGCAGAAGCAAGTCAGAGAGCATGGGGGCAGGGAGCTGTGAGGTGCAGCCAGCAGAGTCAGGTTTGGCTAGTGCTAAGGATGCTAAATGACTGGGGCTCCTCTCTAGCAAGGCCTTTGGTGCGGCGGGTGTTGTTGTTGTTGCAGGGCCTTTAGATGAACTACATGGGAGTTTCCCCCAAAGAACAGAAGACTCTGAAGGTGCTGGGTAGGGATGGTATATTGTCATGCCCATGGTCTGCCCAGAGGTCCTTGCTCTTGAAATTGCCAAGAGACACTTGGATTGCGATCGTGGAAATGGAAGAAAGCCTGCTGCTCCCTTTCCCTTTCCTGTAGACATTGTGTGGGCTATCTCTCCCTTCCCTTGACTTCCCTTGGCTCTCACTTTGGCCAATTAGAAACTGCACAGCCCCGTAACAGAGTCCTTTGGCTTCTTTTATTTTATAATAGACTCATGACTCATTATTATTTTTTTTAAAAAAGAATTCCAGGAAGAAAAACCAAATCATTCTGATCTCTCTTGCACTCTCTCCATTCTAATAATGCTTGCATTCATTTTAATCATATTAGGAACCTCTGAATCAAGATGCTGATAAAGATTCTTATGCACCCACTGGGGGCAAAGTTCCTGGACTCTAGGAGCTAGAAAAAGTCAGGTTATCCCAGAAATAATACATTAATAGGGAGCAATGCACACGCACCAAGAAGGCTCAGTTAAAGGCAAGAGTGTCCGGAAAGGCAGGTGGCCTCCCTTAGACCAAAAGCTCTATTCTTTCCCTCTGTAGAAACAGGAGTGCATGCTGAGAGGCCTGGAACATTTTGCCACCTTTAAGGCCAGCCGAGGACTATGCAGTTCTGAACTTAGAAAAGACAGTTAGGGACAGTGGAGGTGCTAGTCATTCCAAGAGAGTGAAGGTGCTAAAGAGACAGCAGAGGTGCCATGCACAAGCAGATAGGGGCACTACTGATGCTACAGGAGCTGGGAGGTTCGGCAGGGGGAAGGCACCAATTTGGACAGAGGGCAATAATTTTGTTCTTCCTTACAGTGAGGTAAGGGGCAAGAAAAGAGGGACTGGGATGGGGGTGGTTTCTGCACCAGCTCCTGGCTCCTCCTTTGCAGGGATGGAAGTCCTCTAGGGGAGACTGGAGTGGGGACAAAAGGGAGGCAGGAGCTAGAGAGGACCAACATGGTGAGTCTCTTGTCCCTGGAGATGATGCTTCCTCTGGGGTTACAGCTGAGGCTGATTCTCCAAGAGGGAAACCACTGTGGTCCAGAGATGCTGTACTTGGAGTAAACCATTCTTATGACCTTTTGCAGATTCGACTAAGTTGTTTTTTCCCCTGAAAGAGTCAGTTCAGTTCCCCACTCCAGGACTCCTAAGAAAGCTTTCTGAACAATTTGAAGGCTTGCACCCAGCACTCTGTATATGCCAATATCACACACAGCCCGCTCTCTTTCCCACCACAGGCTTGAATCCCGGTAAAGACACCCACCTGCCAGAGAGTTCAAGTTCACACAGAGAGAGTTTTCAGTTATCTGCTGAGGGGAAAATAAGGCCTGAGGTGTTTCCTTGATCTCCCTCCTTCCCCAGAGTGTGCCCTAACAGGTGGCCACATCCCTTCTCATCCCTCCGCAGACTCATTAATTTCAAAAGCAGCCGCAGAGGCAAGGAACTATTTCCCAATTCTTTTCATGAAGAGGAAAAAGAAAATAACCAGCCCAGGAGACCACATACAAAACTCCTAATGGAAAGGAGAAAGCGAAAGAGATGAGAGGAGACCAGGCCCGCTTTGCAGCTGCGGTTATTGGCAGCCTCTCGGGGAGGAACTGAAAACCTGTTTGCCAGGTCTCCGGTGTGGGCACACAGCACAGTTCAAGATGGGACGGGGAAACCTTTTTGATGAGTCTACTTTCCCACCCCGGGTCCTGATTTGAAGAAGCAGAAGTACTGACGGCCCACTCCTCATTGACGCTGACTCGGTTCTGACCACTCAGAGGCACAAACTTGTCAATACCAAAGAGCCATACACGCCAATTCAAAGGAACCTGAGAACCTCAGTTTTTGAAAATACATGCAGTTTGAAAATCAGTACCTCCATCCACTTCCTGAGCGGCCAAGCTCTGGCTTCCTGAGGTAGTTCCAGGCCTGCAAAGTCCTAGGGAAAAACTCCAGAAAGAGAAAGCCAGGCCAGACAAGGCTCCGAAACTCCCTAGCTCTTCCAAAGATGTGTGTCTTGACTCCACGTGGGAAAAGGTTCTATTAACCCAGCCCTCCCATCACCGCCTGGAGGCAAGTGCCTGGTCTGGGCACCCAGGGAGGCCGCTGGGGACAGTGCCAAACCCACAGTTCCTGTGCGCATCACACAACTCTAGGGGAGTGTTGCAATTCTAACCCTTTATAGTCAATTGAGGAGGAAGAGAATGCAGTTGGGAGAGAAAGCTAAAGAGGGGTGCAGAGCTGCGGACACCGAACAGATGGGCTTCTAATGAAAATACTTAAGCTTTCTGATGCACAAGTGACCCAAAGCCGCCGCAAGTCTGAATGCCTACTGTAAATTATAAGATGTTTAACAGATCATAGTATTAAGGATTCGTCAATAAACCCCTGATTTAAAAAGTATATTTATACCAAGTCACCAATATCTGATTACATTTGCCCTAAAATAAAGACACAGATTGTTCTCTCATTTTTCTTGGCTGCAGATCTCTTATCCCTCTAACCAAAATCCAAGGAATGCAAACAACTGCCAGGATCATGTCCCCAAAGCAGTCCTCATTCACTTCGCTCTCTTTCTCTTTCGGCATCAAAGCTTGCCATAAATGTTTAATTACATGGAAGCTGCCTTTCCACTGCAAATGACTGGCGCTGTGAAAGGCTTTTCATTTTTTTAAGAGAGGCGGAATGCGTGTGTGTAAAACGGTCCCTATTAATTTCCTGATATTGACTCTCTGGCTGGGGACGAGCATGGAGTGCTCGGCAGAGAGCGTCTCTGCAGAATGTTAAAGGCAGGGCTTGGACTGAGAAAGGGTACCAAATGCAGTATGCGTCAAACAGACCATCGCTCAATGAAGTCACTTAGCTATTCAAAACATGTTCAGCCATCACTCAACCATTTGCACCAAGAACACTGGGAGGGGGCATGTGATGTGAGCTCATTCCCAGGCTGGTGTTTGGCTCAGTATGGGTTAGGTCCCCAGGACTGCGTTAGTTTTACCCTCTCCCCTATTTGCTGGCCCCAACTCCCTGCAGCACCATCCCACATTGAGCTTAACAAACAACCCTGCAGTGCTCACTTCCCGACGCTGCCTCCAAGGGCCTCCAGTCTTGATTCACATCAGTGGAACCCACATGCGAGCCTCCTTCCACATAGGGGCATATGTGTCTCTCTGCTTGTCTTCCTATAGGTGGCTTGTGCACGCAGACAGATATAGCTATGCAAATGCACTCCTTCATATTAAAGTCTGTGGCTAAATTCAGCTTGTATGACCTGCAGAGTTTCCCTCCCTCCTCTTGTGTTTATTAATGTGTCCCAGAAGCACATGCCTCCTCCCTCATGCCCTAGACTCCCAGCCTTTACACCATGGGAGCCCCTTGGTCCATGGCACATGCAGCACACATGCCCCAATGACTCTGCAAGATCAAGGCCAACAGCTGGCACCCCCACCCCACGCTTTCCCATCCCTTCTCAACCTCTCCATGCCCTCGCCTCCTGCCTGCACAGTGCTGACTGGACTTGCTTTCGGATGACAGACATGTCACTCTGTGTGGAAGCAAATCGGCACTCAGCCTAACCCGCAAGTGACCGCTGTTTATTAGAACTTGTGCTTGTTTCCTGGGAGAGACGCATGCATTTATAGACTTCGTAAATGTTAAACACACACATACACACACAGAGCCAGCCACCTCGAATGATACGTGGGACTCATAGACGTTACGAAATGCTCTTGAACTCGGCTTGAGCTCCTGGAATAATTAGAACCTACCAAATCAGGATTCTTAGAAACAACTAATTTCTTTAAAAAAAAAAAAAAAAGATTTGCAGTTGGTGATGGGTCTGTAACTTTTGAGGAGTGAGGGGAAGAGGAAGAGCCTTTCCCAAATTCTTAATCGCAAAAAGCCGAGCGGCTTATGGGGAGGAATTGTTTTCCCTCCTCATAGGTGGCAAAGCTAGACCCAAAGGCAAACCTTAATGACTCCAAAGCAGCCGGAGCACATCTGACTCTACAGACAATCTCTTGTTTTCACCGTAGCATAGATCATTCCAACGAGGAGGTTTGGGAGGATGGGGGGGGGGGGGAGCCAAAGAGTAGAGAGTGTGGGTTTTGCTTATTGATTTTCTTTCCTCTGAAACTAACCCAGCCAACCTTGATCTGCAGCGGCAGCGGCGGAGGGAGTGAAGTGGGAAAATGGTGGAACGTGGAGGGGACTTATTTGGAGTCGGGTGGGGAGGGGGAGTGCGGAGGGGAGGGGCGGCGCGGAAAGGGGGAGGAGGTAAGAAATCAAATACCTTCGAGGCAGCAGGTTCTCCATAATCCGGAATGGGTCATAACTTCCTCGTTCTTTTTGCTGGTTTCATTCTCACTGACACTTTTGGTCTTGCAAACCCCTCTGGAGTACAGCCAATAGTCGGTTCCCACAGCGATGGTCATCAAGCTGAAGGCAGCGAAAGCACCAACGGTGGTTAAAAGCATTTGAACACCTCGATCAAACAGCCCCATAATTCTTCATTATATAAACACCCAACCGACTTCTGGTTCTCAGGAGCGTGTGTGTGAGGGTGCGAATGGTAATTCCACTACTAATATAATGGATATATGTGTGAATAGAGAATATGGAGAGATATAAAAAAAGGGAGATAAGAAAGCTCACGGAAAAGTGTGTAAATTATAAAGATCACACGGGAAGAGAGGCTTGCCTTTTGAGATCAAAAAACTGTTCCAGTTGCAGCGATTTTTTTTAAAAAGGAAAATAAATAAAAAGACACCCCCCACCCCCCCAAGTGAGATGCCTTAATCTCTTTTCCTAAAATTCTGGTCTCCAGTTTCCATATGTGATCGCTAATTTGGAGATGGCTTCCACAGCGCGCCAGGAAACAGTCGAATTCTCAACACCATCTCTCATGGTCCGGACCTAGACAGTTAGAGACTGGGAGAGCCGGGAAGCAACCTTCGGTCTTCGTTCGCGGCTCTGCGGCCTGCGCCATGAAAATCCGTGGCTTCGCCAGTTCTCTTCCTTGGGGAGGGAGGGGGTTCTCGGGGTGCCTCCGTTTCAGAGGAGACTGCCCAGTCTTCTGCAAGCCCTCGAGCTCAGCTGCACCAGTGCAGGGGTCTCGCCTCCCATGGTTGTGCCCCGGCGGCAGCGGCGGCGGCGGCGGCAGCAGGGCTGGCGGGCGCGGCGGCGGCAGGACGAGCAGCCGCGGTTATTGTTGTTGGCGGCGGGGGTAGTGTCGGCTAAGTGGGGGAGGGAGGGGGTTTCTCCCGGAGAATCGAGGCGGGGTTCCCTCCCCCGATCCGCAAAGCTCCTTGGAAGCCAGCGAGTGAGCGAGCGATGGGGCGCGCGAGCCGGCGTCTTGCAGCAGGCAGGCCCGCCCGCCTCCCCCGCTCGCCGCCGCGCAGCCCCGGGCCAGGCGCTCCTAGCTACAGCATCGCCGAGCTGCTGAAACGGACAGCTCTCCCCGGCCGGGCGCTCCCACCTACTGCATCGCCGTAGTGCTGAACTGGACAGCTCCCCGCGACCGGGCGCTCTCACCTACAGCGTCGCCGCGGTGCTGGACTGGACAGCTCTCAGAGCAGGAGCGCCCACCTACTGCGTCGCCGTGGTGCTGAACTGGACAGCTCCCCACTCTGTGCGCTCCCTGAGCTCCGTAGCCCGCCAGGAGTGGGGCCGGGGCCAAGGGGCCTCTGTCCTCCAGGGACGGGCCAGGCCAGGGCCGAGCGCAGGGCTGCCTGGCCTCCCCGACTCCTGTTCCACAGTTCCGGAATGAGCGCTGGCCGGGGCCTCCTGGAGCTGAGAGGAAGGCGTAGCTGGCGATCTCTCTCTCTCTCTCTCTCTCTCTCTCTCTCTCTCTCTCTCTCTCTCCTCTCTCCCTCTCTCTTGCTCTCTCTCCCTTTCTCTCCTCTTCCCTCCCCCCTCGGTGTTTCTTCCAGATCAGCTTCCTTCTCATTCCATCTCTACGTGCCCAGAGCTTCAAATACAGCCCTCCCAGTCAGACTGCCACAAAACTTCAATCAGCTGCTTTTCCGCCTGGAAGAGATGGACATAGAACCTAGATGGGTAATTACAAACATAATCTCTATGTTCTTTTTTCCCTCCAATCATGGGTTGCACAATGTTTTTTGGGAAGGGGAGGGGAGGTTGTTTTATTTTATTGGTTGGATAGATACATCTCTTTCCTCATTCCCTTCTTGATCTCTGTGTCTTTCTGGCTAACGAGGGTGTGCATAGCTTTATCTGTTACTCTGTAGTTTTCCGTGAAATTTTACATCTTACTTCTACAAGTAGACATTTTGGAAAGATTATTTATGTGAAAGAACGAGGGAAGGGTGACTGGTAACTGGGGCTCGGGCCATGATTCTCATCCCAAGGATGAAAATGTTTTCAGGAGAAGTAGGTGAGTGTGGATCTTTCCAAGTCTCCCCCCGCCCGCCATTCATAAGCGAGATTGAAGAGATGTTTTAAAAGCATTTCTGCTATGAACAGGGAAAGACAGAAGCCTCCTCTTGCTCACCAGAACTGTGAGCTTGGGTTAATTCCTGGGCCACCTCTCTACCAGACTGTGTGTGCAACTTTTAATGCAACCCTGGAAATCGAAGCACTTCAGCAATGCTCCCAGCTGAGGATGACATGTTTTCTCTGACCAGTTTTGTGACTGAGTAAAAGGAGAACATATAAGGCAGGCTCGAGGGTGTGTCTTTCCTTTGGGGGAGGGGCTAGAGAAAGCTGTTTCTCGAATGAGTCAGTTGAAGGGCGTAGAGAGACGCTTTGATTTCACAATTTGGTAATGCCACCCTCCCCATTTCGTATTGAGATGATTTGCTCGATAATTTATCAGTGATCCAGAAATTAGGGGTGTACACAGGAGAGGGTTGAAGTTGAAATAGTTTCTGGAGGTGTGAAGCCCACTGCCTAACTTCTTCCTTGCACCTTCCAAGTCACAGGTAGAAACTGTCTGATTTGCTGCCCTGCATAAAACTTCCCTTTCTCCCAGTCTCTGCTCCCTTTTAGACCAGAAGGACCCTTCTGAGGACTGATGGCTGTCTTTCTGTTTCGGGGCAAGGGTCTTGGCATCTGGAGAACAGGACTCAGAGCTCTGAAACTGTACTAAGGGTTTTAGTGGAAGCTGAAGCTGGCTTGCAGGGGAAGGGTTCTCAGGGCTTGGTTTCCTGTCCTAGGAGGGTAAGATTAGCAGTGGGAAAGAGGGAGGGATGGTCTGCTCATCCCAGGGGCAGTTCAGTCGTGGCTTGTGTGGATGTTTTTCTTGGGCTGCTATCCTTATACTTCTTGGTTGTGAGCCTAACCTTTAATGGCTGAGCCATCCTCCAGCCCCACTGGTCTGTTATCCTTAAGAAAAATGTGAAACGCAGGTGTCAAGACTCCTGAGATCACCTACGTCTTTTGAGGAGAGCAGCTGGGGAGAGATGTTTGGGTGTCCTTATATGTGTTTGAGAAGTTTTCCTTTATTGGTGCCTGTCACCTTGACTGCCTTTGACCTGCCCATGCATGGGGGGGGGGGGAGGAACAAAACACTCAACACTCATCCATTGCCCTCTTCATAACAAACCCCTGAGTTCCTGCTCAAAAGGTACCCACAGCAGAAGTTCTGAAGCCTGTTTGCCTGCAGACTGCTAACCTCAGAACTGCTGACAGTGGTTGTAACAGTCACAGCATTTGATTCATCTTCTGGTCAGATCGTCACCAGGAAAACAACAGGGGTGGAGAGGGGGAAGGGAAGCAGTCTTCACAGCCAGCATGGAGATAGCAGAGACTGCTGCAGCCAGAATGGGTCTGGGTACACAGCTTCACTGGAGACTTAGGCATTTGTCATATTCTGTCCAAGTTGGCTTCCTGAGGATATAGTTTCAGTGTCTGGAAAATGGGTATCTTGGTACCTATCTACTCTTTTCAGAAGCATCCCAGCTATTCTCTACTTTTTGCTACTTGCCATACCACTATGACTTTGGTCACACTGATCACACTTAACTGTGCTGTGACCTCTCATGGCCTCATAAGCTCTTGAGTCATGGATCACAGTTAAGGCTTCAGAATCCAAGGAAGTTCTAGATCCATAGCAGACACTTGGTGAAGGATGCCCAAGCAGCTACAGTGTGGACTTCCTATGGCAGAAGAGAGGCGGACAGCCTGGTATGGATGCTTCTCGTTTCTCTGCCCCATTTTACACCCAAAGTGCTCTGTCTTCATCTTCTGCATCCTTCTTGTCTCACAGCCTCCCCGCCTTTACAAGTGAGTTATATGCCATAGGGTCCTTCTGTAGGCCAGGAAAGGTCACCTGGGAGAGCTGGCCCTGCTCTGGCTCTATGTGCTGCTTGGGACACACCAGGCACCTGCACTTAGTGGCCGCTGAGTGGATGTCTAGGGAGCAGCTTTGTGTGCCTGCAGTTTGTTACTTGGGAAGGGCTTAGAGGAAATTAGCTGAAATGCCACGGGCCTATTTTGAGCTGCCTCTTTGATGGAGTGGAAACAACATGGGATTTGGGCGCAGCAGACCTGGCCTTGAAGTGCAAGGCTGCTGTTTCCTCGCTGTTTGACCTTGGACAGTTACTTAATCTCCCTGGAAACTTGTGTTTTCATTGATCAAGAACTGGGGGCGCAAGCCTTATGCCGTGGTCACCAGAGTTATATGTTAACAGCTATGACAAAGGCTGACATTTATTGGATACTGACCCATGCTGAATCCCACAAACCTCCTAGGAAGAGGCATCACCTCACTCCAATTTACAGGTGAGGAAACATAGTCACCCAAGGATGCAAGTATCTAGTATTGTTTTTTCAGACTCAGGGCACAACAGACCCTGGAGTCTAGTCCATGTCTGAGTGTTCTGAGGAAGGGCCTTGAATCAGGACTGTCTGCTTCTCAGCTGCAGTTTACAGAGAAACTTCTGGGTGCCCAGTGTGTTCACGCTGATACCACACTCAGGTCAAGTAATTCTCAACTTTGTGCGAAGAGCCTTTCCTTTAGGTGAGGTCACATCCCAAGCCCAAGGTCATATGTCAAATAAGTGGGTCAGCAGAGATGCAGACACTTTGAAATGACTGACTGCCACTAACAAGTCCAAAGCTGATTCATTAGGTTTTTTGTTGTTTGTTTGATTTTGTTTTTTTCTTGAGACAGGGTTTCTCTGTAGCTTTGGAGCCTGTCCTGAAACTGTCTCATAGATTAGGCTGGCCATGAACTCACAGAGATCTGCCTGCTTCTGCCTCCCAAGTGCCAGGATTACAGGTGTGCCACTGCTGCCCGGTTTATTTGTTGTTTTATCTGAACTCAAGCATCTACTGTGTGTCAGCGACTGTGCTGACTCCGGGCAAGTGGGGCAGTCTCTGCAAAGGTAAAGGGAAGGAGTCAGGCATGGCAGCCATGCTTGTGATCCCAGCACTCGGGAGGCAGGGGCACGAGGATCATGGTGATTTTGAAGCCAGCTAGAGTAGATAGTGAGCATAGACAGAGAGACAGACAGGCACGCGTGCATGCTTGCATGCACAC